GTTATACCATGGAATGAAATTTGATGAAACTTTCACAGATTCTTTATTACATATTGCCATTGTGCACCTTCTATTAAACATTTTTATCCAACACATATTTTGGGTTTTCCATGGCAAAACATGGACACTGTCATTATATACATATGGGAGGCGGGGGTATTATTTAGTGAACTCATTGCTCACAGTACTTCTAGTTTCTAGAGCTCACTGCTCATACCACAACTAGATTCTATCATTTTGACACAAACATTTATATGAGATAAACATATAACATTTATACCTACCGTATAAGCAGACTTTTAGAGAGGATTCAATTTTGGCATTAATAGCGAGGATGCCAAGATCACTAAAGTTGAATATCGCTAAAAAGAATTTATTCGTTATAACTTCATTAGTGAGGTGTTTTTTAAATTGCAAAAATTTCAAGTCGCCATAAATAAAATAGCAGTTTTTATGGATAAATCGCTAAATTTTCTTCAGGTTAAAATTCCCATTTATACTGAATTTTCTCTTGAAATCTACATTGTTTTTTTCTTCTAACTCGTTTTGAGCTGTTTACTCATACAATTCTTCTAACCATCAGCTTGATTGTCTTTAGCGAATAATAATGTGTGAGCCAGGGGTTGTATGTTATCCCTTCAGCGAATAAGCCGGTGTCCCCAGCCAGGTATAGACCGTTAGGGTTAGAGCAGTGACACTTATTGTGCCACCATCCTGACTTGTACAAAGTCGCACAGTTATCTCCGTAAGGATCGTTGTCTTGGTCTTTGGTCGAGAACTTTATGATATGTATAGGGTTGGTCGTTGCAGTAAAACAATCCGCTAGGAAGTTAATATATGAATAAATACATAAAAACATGAATTCATTTATCAATTCAACAAGCATTCTGAGAGTATTGCATAAGTAATACATGTCCCCTACCTTTTTTCTTCAGTATGTCATTTTATAATATGCATAAGTCATGTCCAAGGTAAAACTGCAAAGTTTTTAGATTGTAAATGCCTTAAAAATAAAAAAAAATAATCCACATTAAGACGAAAATTCAACTCATTTTTTCACCGTCTTTTCCTCGCTTCATTTCTATGTCGACCATCGGAAGTTAGCGCAGTTCAATCCCAATCTTAATTAAACGATTATGAAAAATATTCAAAATGCCATAATTCTGTCAAAAATCAATGAAGCAAAGCGAAATTCATACTTGATCTGTAACTCATTAAGATACACTCACATACCAAAATTCAGCTCAATATCTGCAAGCGTTTAGAAAAAAGTGCGGAAAACCAAGTGGGACAGACTGACAGAGAGACGGGGACAGACAGACGGACAGCCAGACAGACGGACGGACGCAGATGAAACCTAAAGCCCCCCCCCCCCCCCCGGTTTCACCGGTAGGGGACTAATAAAGTTAGTGAATGATCGCACTACGCCATTAACAATTAGTAAAACCGGAACCACACTTCTTATTTTCGAGATGTAATTTTTGAACTGTATTTAGTCCTTTCAACCGTCGCTAGGTCTGGGTGTTATAAACTCACTGCTGAAACATGTTTAGAGCAGGCCCGGGGTATCTAACTGTTTAAACGTAAGGCAGTGTTTAGCATTTCCCAAGTGTTTCTCTGCTCTCAGTAGAATCCAGTGGTTTTAAAATTTAGTACCAATGTTAAACTTATTAACTGTATAGTTGCAGGCACCGTTTAACTACATATAATTAAAATTCTAAATTAAAATAAAAAGTGAAATCTACCCTCTTTCTTAGTTCTTACCTAATTATTTTTTATAATCGGTCGTTCCCCTTTATGCTCAGTAACACAAATAAGATGATCAATTGTTGCATTTACTTGTAAAAATATACATATTTATATAGGAAGCGCAAAAGCGCACACACAAAAAACATGGCTTTAAATTTCTTCTTTACAATAATCGTCAAAGAGAGTTAAAATATTGAATAAAGTCTGTTCCCCATTCCTTTGACCCTGTTATTTCAGATATAGTGAAGACATTCTCCTTCTTTTGGTCAACACTTTTTTGTACAAAACAATGTAAGGAACCCTTTTGTGTACATAACCATACCAATGCTAAAGCAGCTTACATGTATATGTCATTCATATAAACGATAACTCAAATCGGCACTTAGTTTGTCATATTTCATATAGAGTTACCTGTCCTTAAAACACAACATCGGAGAAATCAATTATAAAAGATTAAACTTTTAATGATGTTATCAAAAGTATGCATAAGTCATTATCTTTTTTAATAATTTCATGTACCTATAAATCTATCTATGCAATGTTTTTTACCATATGAGCAACTTGAAAAATTAGTGAAAGGCCTACTGTATTGGTCTGACTTTACCTGACCTTTTAAATATCCAGTAACGATCGATTTTGCTCTTACATGTAAGTCGGTCGCATTGCATTAACAAACTTGCTTATAAATACTGTATTTAAGGAAAGATTAACAGATCAACTTGGTTTATCTAGTTTGTTAGAATCAACCACATTCTGATTCATTGTCTTAAATTAACTGACAAGTTTGGGGTTTTTTTTAAGGTAAAACAAGATAAGTTTTATTGGAGTATGGGATAATGGGTATTCTATGTGTATTTTTTGTTGACTGAGTATAGAACTACCTCAATTATTTAATATTAATGCAGTATAGGGGATTACAACTAAAGAATCTCTCAGCAAAGAGAAATATATAATTATTAAGAGATACACTTTAATTCTTTTTTATATTTTATGTTACAATTTTCATTTTTGTTAAAATATTAATTTTAAGAAAACTAGCAAAGTCATTTTTTTCAAAAGATAACTTACCAACGTCGCCTGAAAACCCAGATAAGGACATTAGGTATTTTGAAGCCTCGTCTACTACGGATACACTGCTGTATTTAATATAACGAGTCTGGTTGTTGAAGTCACTCATGTCCATCCGTAACTCGTATGTTCCTTGACTCAATAAGAGGAAGAGTTTCTCATTTCCTTAATTAACAAAAGGATAATCTAAGTAAAAAATACAAATGTTTACATGTACAAATACGTTCCCCCCAAAACACAGAACTTTATGAGAAGACAAAATTTGCTTATTTGAAGTTATGAGAAAAAATCATCGAGATTGTGGGATTTTCCTATTTTTTTTATATGTTTTATCCAGCAGTTATTATTAGGAAATGTGTTCCAAATTTAATTTTAAGAACCACCTGAGAACCATAAAAAAATGTAAGTTAGTAAGAAACATATAAATAACGAGCAAGTATTTATTTTTTAAAGAAGGGTGTAATAATATATTTTTATATATTCTATCAATGTTTGGGCTTTTCAGTAAAATTCTTTTAAGTAACATTTTTTATGAGACAAAAAGAAATAAATTACGTTAAAATGCAACGTTTAACCAGTCCCTTGAATTATTGTGATCGGTTTCGATCGATCACAGTTGATCAGTTAAGAAGGGTTTTTCATGATACTCACAGAAGTATACAATGAACATGGATTGAATAACAGTCAAAAGTGACCTATATTATTTCTCTCCATTAGAGATCACAGTTGATTCCACATGAGACATCCGGCAGACTAAATTATCTCCGAACACATTACACCCTTAACAACTTTTTTTCTATACAATGCCAGCTTTCTGTAAATTTATTTTAATAATGGGAAGCACTAATGACCGATGTTTTTATACCCCCGCTTGAAAAGTGGAAGGGTATATAGTAATCGGCATTTCCGTCCGTCTGTACGTCCGTCTGTTACGCTTTGGGGTACACATCTTTTATCCGCAACTCCTCTTATACTACTTAGATAAATTTAATTAAACTTTCAGAGAATCTTAATTGCATATTGCCATTGTGCACCTCCTACTTTTTTATTCGACACGTATTTTAGGATTTCCATTAGCAAAACATGGAGATTGCCATTATATTCTATATTTATGTCCTATGACGTCACATATAGAAGCTTCTGGATAATATTTGATAAGACGAGTTATTCCTCTTTACACATTATCGAAAAACAATAGAAAAACATGGACATTATGGGAGACGGGGGTATCATTTAGTGAGCTCATTGCTCACAGTACCTCAGGTCTTGTATTTATTTTGAGATGCAAACAATGATACATTTACATGGTGAACGAACTAACAATTATCTTTACATGCATTTCAATCTAATTTAGAAGTAAAATTCAGTTAAGGGTGAAGTTGATGTTTTTGGAAGCAATAAAATAAATACAAGTCAAATCAAATAAAGAATGCGTACCTCTTTCTATTTTGTTTGTTTATACTAGTATTGACTTTCCTCGTATAAAAATTTATAATAAAAATAGTTCCAAGATTTAAATTTAAAAGCTCACCATTTTAATTTAGATGTATTTAGATGTATTTTAAATTTGACAATGATTTTATTTATTGATACTATGACCTTGTCAGTAAATATTATTTATCACTGAGACAAGTGCTGACTGACGTTTTTCATACTTATTATAAGTCCATTATTTATACACTAAATTGACTACGGATTTTTCCGGCTTTTTAAATCTTGACAAGGAGCACACGACGGGTGTGACCGGTCAGCATGGGATTTTACTATTCCATGGCACCTGATCCAACCTCTGATGTTTTGGAGGTCCGTGTTTGCTCTGCTATTATTTTGTATTGTTTTTTTTCTTTGATATTGAATACTGTTCGTTATCTTCATATCCTTCCTTTAAGTGCGTGAGATATCACAGACCTATTACATAACATGAAATCATATTTCTCTATCTATCTAAGGAAACATTTTTTCCAGTATCGATTGCTTTTTCTTCTGACTCATTATTTTTGTCGCGTTTAGCAAGCAACAATCATTTCATTAATTAAACAAGGTGATTTGAATTATTCTTTATTGTCCTTACTGCTAGGAATATCGCAAAATATAATACTAACTCTTCGGGTTTTTTTATTTCCAAGCAAACTTTGAAAGTTAAGATTGATTGTACGGACAAGTGCTCTAAGGTTGATATTAAAACTGTTCGAGCTTCTGCTTTTATATGCGTTTGTAATGTCTGCCTGAATAGATAAGTATAACTATGGTCCCCTTAAACGTTTACACAGAAATCAACTTGTTTGCTTATCAATACAAAGTATAAGCAATTGTAAAAATTGTATTTAAATAAGTTGTTCCCTCAAAGAAAAATATTAGCAATTGAAAATTATGTATTTGAATAACCTTCTATCCTCATTTATAAAAACTGCTCAGTTAAATTGAATTATGCCTGGCTTTTTATATGTTTTAAATACAGGTATTGAAACATAAGCATTTGATCAATTAGATGACATTTTATGCATAGGAAAAATTATTATCAAATCCATTTATGAAAAACATATTTAAAAGACTACTTTTCTTAAAATGCGCAAATGTAATTTATTTGTTTCTGTTTTTGATGTTAAAATACTATGATTTGAAAAATATTTATTAAAAAAAACCTAGATTATTCTTTTGCTTAACTTTTCCTTCAAATATGAAGAGCTAATACACGCTGTTACGTTGACTAAATCGTTATTAAGTAAGCTTCATTTTTAAAGAAATTACCAAACCAAAATTCATCTGTCAGATTCCCAAATCCATCCTTAGACTCCGTCCAGGTTCTATAGAAATCCTCAGACCCATCGAGTCGACGTTGGAAAACCTAAATAAATAAATGTCAACATTTAAATTGATCACTTTGGAAGTGTATATTTATTTTGTTAATGTATAGGGCATATTAAAGTTTTATGATTTATGTGATGACTTTTCTATCATCAACATCCTTACTTATCCAGAAATCTGCTTTCATCGTCTGCAAATGGGGATTATTTATCTTAGCAGTCTCGTTTAAATAATAATTTTGTAAGTTCAGTGGTTGATACAAAGTCCTCGTCCTCCGCCATACTAATTGTATGATCATTATTTACATAATGGATCATTGTCAGACTTTTCCGTTATTTCTTTTGAGACGCGGTACATGACGGTCGGCAGGGGATGCTTACTCCTCCATGGCACCTGATCCCACTTCTGATCTTTTAGAGGGCATTGGTTGCTCTGCTCTTGTTTTGTATTTTTAAAGGACTTAGAGCTTGAATACCGTTTGTTAACTTATATGTATTTTATATTGAGTTTGTTGATTGAGAGTGCAATCGTATTTTTTACATATTTTTATAAGTGAAAATAATACAAAGAAAATCACTCGATCTTTAGAGCACTGGATAACTAATCATTAATTTCAGCTCACTTGAAAAATGCGTAAATATATATTCATGTAAATTAATAAAATTTCGTCATTTCAATGGAATCAAGATATAAAACGTAAAACAGAAACATTTAAGATTATATATTACAAAAAATTTACTGCATAAAATGTCACTGTTGACTGAAACATTGGATCTACATTTATAAATGATAACAATTAAATATAAATAAGATATAATTACTGTCCAGCCTCCATCGTCAGCCTCCATTTCACAAAAGACGGTCACGTGACCAAAGACCGGGATACTGACTCTATAAAGACCACTTTGGGATGATAGATTATGTACCTCTGTGCAATCTTTTGGTCCATTTTTATCTTAAAATGAGAGAACAAGATTTGTATTCACTTCAAATCAATTGAAATTTCATTTGAGAAAAGTTTCAAAAGATAAACTATGGACAAAATAAGTGGTTATATTTGGATTAAATATCAACTTCTTACAACGTTTAGAAGACAATGATTCACTCTGAATTTCATCTGGTTGATAGAATATAAACGAATATAATTGTTTTTAATCGAATCGCAGACAATTGTAGGTCACCTATGTTGATAGGCCATTAAAATTATAGATCCGTCACCCACTCTGTACCTGAAGTATACATTAAAATTATAGATCCGCACCCTAAAAACAGGAAATAATATGTCATATCTTTTCCACATCCCTCATTCCATAAATCTGTCTTATATTTTGAAAATTTATCTTTAATATGAATTTACCTATCTGTTTGAGGACAAACATACAGGGTTATACTTCTATACTTACCTTTGACACAATATGTCTTCTCACTTGAAAGAAATACACATTTCTCACTCGGTAAGCATGACATGCATTCAACATTGTCATTAGCAATCTAAAGAAAAATATTTTTAAAACAAACGAATACAAAAATTATAAAGTAATTTACATACAAATTTTTAAACCATTCCATAGTGTGCATGTTTAAAATTGCTTTTAAAAAAGTAAATAGAACAGTTTTATCCAGTGTTTATCTACACTGTATAACTATGAATGAAGGATATGGAGATAACAAACAGTATTCAATCTCAACGTCCATTAAACAATATACAAAATAAGAGCAGAGCAAACACGGACCTCCAAAACATCAGAGGTGGGATCAGGTGCCATGGAATAGTAAAATCCCATGCTGACCGGTCACACCCGTCGTGTGCTCCTTGTCAAGATTTAAAAAGCCGGAAAAATCCGTAGTCAATTTAGTGTATAAATAATGGACTTATAATTAGTATGAAAAACGTCAGTCAGCACTTGTCTCAGTGATAAATAATATTTACTGACAAGGTCATAGTATCAATAAATAAAATCATTGTCAAATTTAAAATACATCTAAATACATCTAAATTAAAATGGTGAGCTTTTAAATTTAAATCTTGGAACTATTTTTATTATAAATTTTTATACGAGGAAAGTCAATACTAGTATAAACAAACAAAATAGAAAGAGGTACGCATTCTTTATTTGATTTGACTTGTATTTATTTTATTGCTTCCAAAAACATCAACTTCACCCTTAACTGAATTTTACTTCTAAATTAGATTGAAATGCATGTAAAGATAATTGTTAGTTCGTTTACCATGTAAATGTATCATTGTTTGCATCTCAAAATAAATACAAGACCTGAGGTACTGTGAGCAATGAGCTCACTAAATGATACCCCCGTCTCCCATAGTGTCCATGTTTTTCTATTGTTTTTCGATAATGTGTAAAGAGGAATAACTCGTCTTATCAAATATTATCCAGAAGCTTCTATATGTGACGTCATAGGACATAAATATAGAATATAATGGCAATCTCCATGTTTTGCTAATGGAAATCCTAAAATACGTGTCGAATAAAAAAGTAAAAAGAAGGAGGTGCACAATGGCAATATGCAATTAAGATTCTCTGAAAGGAGGAGTGAGCATCCCCTGCCGACCGGTCACACTCGCAGTGTGCTCGTTGTCATGATCAGGAAATAACGGAAAAATCCGTCGTCTATTCAGTGTATAATAATGACCTAACAATTATTATGAAAAACGTGAGTCAGCATTTGACTCAATGATAAATTGTAATTGCTGACAAGGTCATTGTATCGATCATAGAATTTACGAAATGATGACTTTAAACGAGACTGTTGATATTCTTGTTTCATCAACCTGCTTATCATTAATTTGCCTCGTTTAAGAAATTGTTCATACGTAGAGCATGCTCTTGTGTATCGAATCAACTGAGATATATATACTCCTTATGTAGATAATGATGATGGTATATTGCTGAATAAGTAAGGGAAGTTGACGATAGAAAAGTTAAAGTCATCACGTTTATCATATATCTTGGTTGTTAGATTACCATTAGTGTCTTTTTCAAGTAAAATATCCAAGTATGAAGCAGAAGCAGATGTGAATGAAAAACAATCGTATGGGTTTTCTTTTCGATTTTTTTCTAGGTTTAAAGAAAAGAGAATTCATTTTATCCACGTAAAATAAAAAAATTACTTTATTACTACGCAACAATTCTTCATCAGTTATATGAAAATTTGACCCCAGAAAATGTGCTATCGTAACTATTCTTTTTCTGCCAACAAGCAAGCAGGCAAAAAATGTATTTTCTCGTTGAATATTACACTCTTTAAAATTAACAAATACTTGCAGACCTCAGTTTCACACATAGCATCACTGAAATGTTAAAAACAGAAAAACAAGAGAGAAAAAAAACTATTGATAAATTTCAAAGCTCAAGAATTAAGTGTAGAGTGCATGAGTATAAAGGTGATTTGTCTAAAATGAATCATCGAATACATTCAAACTTTCAAAGTTAAATGTCAACGACGAACACTTGTGATTTTAATAAATCTAATTCGTAGAACCCGGCATGAGCAATGTTACTTTTAGAATCATAGGGAATGAAATCCTTATTTTTATGTTTTATATTTTCTTTTACTTACTTCCCCGAGTCTGATGTACTTTGAGGTTGGTTCCGTTTTCTCAGTGGAGGAGACCATTTCACACAGTAGGTCTTCCCTCTTGTAGCTGATTCTTTTACACAGAGACGCTCGGGCTTGACATTCTGTAACGCATTGCTTCTGACCAATTGTCTTCATCACTAGAATTACCGGACCAACATATCTTTCCTCGTGTATCAAATCTAGACTACTGCTCCTGTGAAATAACACCAAAGGTAATAGGAGTATACTGTTCTCATTCATAGTGCAGACGCCTGCTAATTATGGCCTCAAATTAATATAGTAAATTGTCAAACGTATAAAAATCCGTTACTTATGTATTGCTTTAATACGCAGGTCAATAATTATCTTTCGTTAACCACTAATACACTGACACTTAATTGGTAAAAAATATTCTGAGGAAATTGATCGTGTAGAATATCTTTAAGTATTGTCATTAACTTTCTTTGGTTAAATATCTGTTTTAAAAGCAATTATTCTAACTGCATTATTGGTTTAAACATTGAATTAACATTTGGTTGATTGATTCTTTTGTATCTATTCAAGGGTCTGAAGACTAGGTCATTTACTTTTACAAGAACAGCATCAAAATCAACTTATTACCTATAATTGGCTGGATGTTTGTCTTAAAGAATGAATACTGTGCTTTTAAGCCATTGATTATTATAACTAGATAAATGTAAATGATAAATGTAAAAGTAAATGATAGCTATTGTCTTAAAGCATTAAAATTGTTATATAGAGAGTGTGACGCGCTATGGCTAGGGTTTTTATGAATCTTGGCACACATTCCTAAGTATGAAATGAAAATCCTTATAAAATGTTTGCTTTAGTCAATAGTTACCGTGGCCACCAAAATACGAGGGGTTATCAAAAAGTTCGTGGACTGAGGCTATAAAATTAGTACTATGTAGTCTATGCTTTCAAAATTTATATGGAAAATAAAAAACAAATAATAAAGAAATGTTGAAAAAATTAGCCTGATACGTTCATTATTTGCCAAATTATTAAATGAAAACGATATTATATGATCACCCGGCGCTGTCGTCGTTTATTTTCATGACGTCCGATAACGTCATTGTTTTTTTTTTTTCAATGTCCGCTTCTTCTACCTCATACACTTTTTTAATGAGATTCCCTGGAACTGAGTAAGGACTTAAACCCGTCTTGATTATATGACTTTACAATGCCATGAACAGTGGTCTTTAATGAATATACTATTCCAAATTGAATAATACATTGGGAGAGATCAGCGCTTGATTGTGCCGGGATATTTTGCTTTTGGGAGTTCAATATCTACAACACATGATCAACGTCATTTTTTGACGTGATTGATTTTTCACACCTTGACTGCAAATTGACTTTAACTGTGTATTCCTTTCTCTCTGAATCTATTTTGAATTAAAAGACAAGTACTCTGGATGCATATTATTTCTCTGTAGCCATTTCAACATATTTTAAGTCTATACCCGTTTTTTCAGGGGCAAAACTTTATAGAATGTTGGAAATGGAAACCCCTCCCCCCTTTTGACGTCATTTTCAAGGCCACATTTGTTTGGACATTCCGTGTAAAATTTACAATAAAATTTCATAGAACTTCCAGAATGAAGTGAAAATTTCATATTTTATGGAACAATTGTTATCCGGCACATACCCGAATTAACGGGAATTTTGGATGTCAAATGATCATATCAAAAGAGCTTTTTTTCAGTTACACATAGGTCGCAAAAACGTCGTGTACGAGGTTGCGCCGCCTTGACATACCTTTGCTTACAAAAACATTACTAATTTATTAGAAAATAAAATTTATGAGTTATGGTTTATTCTCTAGATAGAAAAGATGACGCTTACTAGATATTTTAAAACTCATTGATGTACCTAAAGCGGTTTTAATTTTATGACGCTAGTCCACGAACTTCTTGATAACCCCTGGTACATATTGTCACGGATTAAAAACACTAAATTTTGATGAAAATACTCAACTGTATTAAACGTCTTTATTAGAACGATATATTAACATGACTTAATCATGTTGATAAAATACATTATTTTCATAATTCGTGTATGTTAGTTTCTTTATCTCATCAGAAATTCCACCCCACCCACCAACCCACCCCCGTGTCAGTAGCAAAATAGTATATTTGAGGCTCTTTCGGAAATGTTGGTTTATAATTTTGTGGACATTTAGGGGAAAATGAATACATAACTGTATATTTAATATTTGGTTGTAATGTAAAAGGGCCACAACTTTATATATTCTTGACATTGAAGCCTAAGCGTCAAGAAATTTTAAAAAAAAAAGGGATAAATAATGATAATGACTGTCGTATTTACTGTTGAATCTGATAATTACTGATCTGTAGTGTCGTCTGATAAATACTCATAATTACTACCGTCTTGTTGTCTGGTGAGTTTCATACTTAGATATTTTCTAGAAAAGTCCGATTATTGTTTATGACAATCGTGATAAATTCGACTTTTCAATCGTCAGCTTCCAGAAATATATCTTGGTCACTTATGTACGGATTTATATCTCTCAGTCGATACGACATGCAAGAGCATTTGCATGTTCTATGTATGAACAATTTCTAAAATGAGGTAAATTATTGGCAAGCAAGTTGATGAAACAAGAATATGAGCATTTTCGCTTAAAGTTATCATTTCGTAAGTTCTATGGTCGATACAATGACCTTGTCAGCAAATACAATTTATCATTGAGTCAAATGCGGACTGAATTTTACATACTACTTGTTATGCCATTTATTTTACAAACTGAATATTTTTTACCGCTATTTCTAGATCAAAAAAAGAAGAACATGGTGAGTGTTACCGGTCAGAAGGGGATACTCATATCTACCTGATTCCTGATCTGATTTCTGACGTTTTTTTTTTATTACTCTGTTTCTGTTTTGTATTGTTTAATGGACTTTTGATCTTGAATACTGTTTATTATCTCCATATATTTGAAATAAATATTTGACATATTGTAAAATTAAACTAATTATCATAATTTAGTCAAAAGATTTTATGAAGAATTATGAATATCCCCAACAAGTGTAAAAAAAAAAAGGACCCTACCCCCTACCCTTCCTCACATTAACATTACGCTTAGACTTGTAAGGAATATTTAGGTCAATGACCTCTATTCCTTCTGCTGAGAAATCCTTTATAAAGGTACATTATACCCAGATATTTTAGGCAAATTAAATGAGCACTTTGATTTGTTTTCTTTTTTCAGAGTCTTTTTAATAAATTATTTTTCAAACGTCTTTATTGGACAACTATTTCCTGCATTGGGAGAGATTGGTTTTTTGGTTTAATTTCATGTAAACCATTCTTTTCAGGTTTGAAGAAAGAGGAAGGAATAGTTTTGATATGACATGGTGTTAAAAAATGACAATTTTGGAGACACTACTAGAAGTGGAAAACTACTGTTATTTGATGAAAAGAGAATATCCTTATTTATGACGTTGTTTTAAATCTAGCCTCGTCGGACTAGGCTACGCAGCCCTCGTATATGATGTGTTTATTTTGATGTCGAATGTACATTTTCGGGTATAAGGTCTTTTTATTTTACAAATAAAATCAATTATTGTCTAAACAAAAATATTATATTAAATACAATATTAAACACAATTAGCAATGTAATATAATAAAGAAAATTAATGTCTGTCAATTAACATGTGATACAAAAATCAAAATCCATATTTTTGACGTTATCATAAAATTAGCGTTACGTCAGACTGCCCCTTGCGCCTTTACATACAGTATTTACGCCCACAATGTTCAACATATAATGTGTATTGATTTAATTTTTTGTATATGTACTAAATCATAGTCTATATAAAATTTTGCAGTATACTTTTCCCATTGTAGACTTCATTAAGAAAATTAAGTCCACGAACTTTTTGGACAACCCTTCTTTATTTAGATAATTGTTTACTGTAGGTGGACTATTAAATTATTTTGTTACATGTATTGTATAATTTCTCTAGTCTTTCTGCATCCTGTCTTGTATTTTGTGAAGATATTATTGCCATACTTAAATAATAAGATGGTTATGATTGCACTGGGCACCACTTGTATTATAACTTCACTAACTTCTTTATACAAGAGGCCCATGGGCCTTATAGGTCACCTGAGCATTATGCAACAACTTTCCAGTGATTGAATTTGATTCATGTTTTAAGCCAGATGCTATGGCCTTCACAATTTTGAAAGAGGCACCATTGATCATCATGACAATACACTTAGCAGTTGCTTAGTTTGTTTACTTAATACCCATATGCAGGGTAAGGGAACAAAAAATGCATTTCAACTAATCAGTAATATTCAGCAATAATCAGCAGTGCCCCTACCACACATGAACCCCTGACCCTTAGGCCTTGATATTTGATTAATACCAAGGAGCAGATTTCAAACCATTCATTCATTCATTATCAGTATATAAGTACAGCCCCCTCCCCCTTCTATGGTACCCCTGACCCTATAGGGCCTTGAAATTCACAATTCTGGAAGATATGGGCCCTTGTCCAGCATAACTATATAGGCAGTTCATCTGCTTAATATCCTGGAGCAGAGAAGAAAATTTTCAAAGATTTAATGTATTTTCACTATATAATCAATAGAGCCCCGTCCTAACACCAGAACCCCTGACCCTGGGGCCATAAAATTCAAAATTTTGGTAGAGGCACTCTTGCTCATCATAACTATGCACTTAGTTAGTTTATTTAATACCCAGGAGCAGAAAAGAAGATTTTCAAAGATTCAATGTATTTTCACTATATAATCTATAGAGCCCCGTCCTAACACCAGAACCCCTGACCCTGGGGCCATAAAATTCACAATTTTGGTAGAGGCACTCTTGCTCATCATAACTATGCATTTAGTTAGTTTATTTAATACCCAGAAGCAGAGAAGAAGATTTTCAGAGAATTCATGTATTTTTCACTATATAATCAATAGAGCCCCGCCCTAACACTAGAACCCCTGACCCTGGGGCCATAAAATTCACAATTTTGGTAGAGGCACTCTTGCTCATCATAACTATGTACTTGTTGGTTTATTTAATACCCAGAAGCAGAGAAGAAGATTTTCAATGAATTCATGTATTTTCACTATATAATCAATAGAGCCCCGCCCTAACACCAGAACCCCTGACCCTGGGGCCATAAAATTCACAATTTTGGTAGAGGCACTCTTGCTCATCATAACTATGCACTTAGTTTATTTAATACCCAGGAGCAGAGAAGAAAATTTTCAAAGATTTAATGTATTTTCACTATATAATCAATAGAGCCCCGCCCTAACACCAGAACCCCTGACCCTGGGGCCATAAAATTCACAATTTTGGTAGTGGCACTCTTGCTCATCATAACTATGTGCTTAGTTGATTTATTTAATACCCAGGAGCAGAGAAGAAGATTTTCAAAGAAATAATGCATTTTCACTACCTACTTATTTAGCCCCGTCCTAGCACTAGAACCCCTGACCCCAGGGCCATGAATTTCACAATTTTGGTAGAGGACTCATTGCTAATTACAATCATGCAAACAGTTTGACTGCTTGATGTCCAGGTGTAAAGAAGAAGATTTTTAAAGATTGCATTAATTTTAGTGGTTTTGGCCCCACCCCTCAGGCCCCAGGGGGGCAGGGATCATAAAATTCACAATTTTTGTTCCCCTTCACCCATAGATGCTTTAGGCTAAATTTGGTTGGAATTGGTTCAGTGGTTGCAGAGAAGAAGCTGAAAATGTTCAAATGTTAACGCACGACGTACAACGCACAACGCACGACGACGGACGAAAACAGACCTTCTGTTTTGTAAATATATCTCCTCCTCATGTACAAGAAATGCTATTGATCATTCTTGTACTTTTTTTCTGTTTTCAGCAAAACAGTTTTCTTGGAAAATAAATAAAGTAAAAATAATGATCAAAAAGCAACAGTTATGTTCTTAATAATATTAGTGCATCCTTGGTTGAAATAACTTTAATTTTCTACATACATCAGTTAATATGCACAATAACTGTAATAGCTGGAATAATGGTAGTGGCGGATCCAGAGCGGCGTTGCGATCCCTCCTTCCCTTTTGATTTGCTTAAAATAAAAAAGTTCAATTTTTTTGTTTTGTTTTACCAAACAAAATGTTTAATGAAAGGCTAATGACATTGAAATAGTATATTGAGATCTAGAGAAATTTGGTAGTACAAGCGACATGGAACTACCACCAACACCTCTTTATAAAATAAAATTTTCAGTTTCGGAGATTTGTTATCCTTCCGTTGTCAAAAACTTTCTTTTTATCTATATCTTTTTTTTAAAAGGGTACTACTTAAATTAGTGTACATTACACACAACTATTTTTTACGCCAAAAATAAACATGTAAATTGAGGAAGTGGTGTGCTTTTGTTGTCAAATGGTGTTGGAAGTTTTCCGGTGAGGAGATAAGAGGTGGTATCAAAATATATTGACGATTTAATCATTATTCATTCATTCTAATATAACTATTTTTTTTGCCTGTTTATATCCGAAATCGAATTTCATCTCCTTGAAAAAGTTATACGGACAAAGAAACATAGATTTGTACTCGTGACACAAGGTTTATCTAGATTCCTGTTTTCATACAAAACACAAAATTTCCTCATTGTATCCAGAAGGAAACACTTCGCAACCCACGATAAAATACACATTTACAGAATACTGCGTATTTCCACGAAAACGTTGAAAGCCGAACTTTAAACACATTTTAATCAATATTTAATGGTTAAAAAAATACAAAGAGTATAGTCTTGAATTTGTTCTTGATATCTTACATGTCTATATGTATTATTACCTCAGTTACATGTTTATGAAAGACTCCTGTTTTTTTAGCATTTATAAAATAAATGATTTTTTTCATTCTTTTATATACATGTATTCTATTTTCGCCTGTTTTATCTGAAATGAAATCGATTTCCTTGGAAAACTTAAACAACCAAAGAGCCATAGATTTGTACGCGTGACACGGGACCTATCTGATTCCTGTTTTCATACAAACCACAAAATGTCCTCATTGTATTCAAAAGGAAACACTTTCCATCCAACGGTACAAAATGTTAAACATATTCAAAGAATACTGCATTTTCCGAGGAGAAAAACGTTGAAAGCCGAATTTCTAACACATTTGACTCCATATATAATATAAAATTACTGATATAATATTCCTAAAATTTTTCTTGCTATTTTTACAGATTAGAGCACTGGACTTAAATTCGCTCAACATGTAATAAAACGAATATAACGGGCAGAAATAAAACACATATATCTTGCCCACGAAGAATACGACAACAACTATACCCTGAAAGGTTTAGAGGGCCGTGTTTGCTCTTCTCCTGTTATGTATTGTTTAACGTCGTTCGATCCTGATATTTAAAGT